ACCCTTATGACTAGTTTTGTTGTCCAGGGTCACAAATATTATACTTTTACCAGCCAATTTTCCAGAACACATCCACCTACGCAATCTTAATCATATTCCAAATTAGGAAATCAGCCAATGATAATTAATAGGGAACATAAATAATTACTTTCCCTTCAGAGTCTTTCATTTATTTGTCACGTGACAGACGCAATGAACAGATCATTCATGAATGACCCATCACTACCCCATATGTATTTCCCCATTCACAACCCATACAGAGATTACCCATGTGGGTACTACCTTGAGCCCATGTTGCCAACCTATAAGGGAATGATTGTGTTTGCCCATGTCTGACCCAAATAGTTTGTCCAAGAGGGCCCCAAACGTCTTTCTCTATTCAGAACCCATACAAATACAGGTGCATCTCAATAAATTAGAATGTCGTGGAAAAGTTCATTTATTTCAGGAATTCAACTCAAATTGTGAAACTCGTGTATTAAATCAATTTTATGCACACAGACTGAAGTAGTTTAAGTCTTTGGTTCTTTTAATTGTGATGATTTTGGCTCACATTTAACAAAAACCCACCAATTCACTATCTCAACAAATTAGAATACTTCATAAGACCAATAAAAAAATTTTTTAGTGAATTGTTGGCCTTCTGGAAAGTATGTTAATTTACTGTACATGTACTCAATACTTGGTTGGGCCTCCTTTTACATGAATTACTGCATCAGTGCGGCGTGGCATGGAGACAATCAGCCTGTGGCACTGCTCAGGTGTAATGGAAGCCCAGGTTGCTTTGATAGCGGCCTTCAGGTCATCTGCATTGTTGGGTCTGGTGTCTCTCATCTTCCTCTTGACAATACCCCATAGATTCTCAATGGGGTTCAGGTCAGGCGAGTTTGCTGGCCAATCAAGTACACCAACACCATGGTCATTGAACCAGCTTTTGGTGCTTTTGGCAGTGTGGGCAGGTGCCAAGTCCTGCTGGAAAATGAAATCAGCATCTCCATAAAGCTTGTCAGCAGAAGGAAGCATGAAGTGCTCTAAAATTTCTTGGTAAACGGGTGCAGTGACGTTGGGTTTCAAAAAACACAATGGACCAACACCAACAGACGACATTGCACTGCAAATCATCACAGACTGTGGAAACTCAACTCTGGACTTCAAGCAACTTGGGCTATGAGCATCTCCACCCTTCCTCTAGACTCTAGGACCTTGGTTTCCAAATGAAATACAAAACTTGCTCTCATCTGAAAAGAGAACTTTGGACCACTGGG